ATTTTGGATTGAAAAATGGGTCTCACGCTTATCAGATGAATTTGTTCGCTTAATAATTCCATGTCGACTCCGCATAAATTATATCTCTTACGATATTATAAACATTTACATGGACTGCGGCACGTGTATTTTCGCCGCATGCTGAATGCGACCGTCTGATGTTCCTTCCAGATTTTTACGTCATCACAAAAAATTGCGCTATAATTAAATAAATTAAATCAAATTTATTGAATGTCATATCGTTTATTGAATTATCGTGAAATCTTCTTGCATAGATAATGTTCCTCAAGCAAAAGTTAAAATGACATTAAAATCAATCATTATATTCGTTGTTGATCGAAAAGTGACTTTTAGGTATCATTTGAGAGACATTCTCACGTTTTTTTAATGTCACGACTTGTATTCTGCTTGAATTTCTTTCGATATTCCGAAGCGTAATCACGAAAATCTGCTTTTAAATCTTATATCTCAATCTTTAATTTCTAAAGTTCTATAATCCCTTTTTTTTACAATTTCCTAGATTTCTTGAACTAATGAGATTTAGATTCGTTTATTGTCTATTGGATGATGTCTTAAGAAATTTCTTAAGAAATTTTCTGGACAAAAATAGTCTCTAATTTTTCAAATCAGACGGCCGTATTTAAAGATACAGCGAAAACACAGACTTGTAAGATAATTCCTTGTTTTTAGATGTAAGGATGAATTATAAAAAAAAAACAAATATATGCGCATAATAGACTCATTCTTCTGTTTCTCTCTTTTCTTTCTTTCTTTCTCGCTTTGCATATTAATATAGTATGTGCAAAATAATCTTCTCATCATTGTGTAAACAATTTATTTTACATAAGGGTAATACTCTGACATCGAAAAAAAGCGATAATAATGGCTAATGTATAATAATAAATAAAGTATGAAATGTAAATAATGGATATGTACAAGTATGTAAATGGCAAAAAAGCTATAACAGAGATGAAATAATTGTTTTTCTTTTGCAAATATATGAGCCGCTTGTTCTGAGAGTGGCGCAAGTCGATTCTCGAAAGTATCACTGAAGAAGTGCTTGTATCGCTTTGTTTGTTCATTTCATTAGAAATATTGTAAGGTTCCATTTATTATTCACTGTGATTGAAAATATATAGTTCGCGATACTATTACTATAGATTTTCGATTATTTGCAGTGAATAACAAAACATAACTATTATATAATTATATATAATTGTATATAAAATATGTCAATTTTACATATAATTATATATATAATTTTATATAATTTTCTATATTATTGTTTATATTATTATTGTTGTATTATTATTTGTATATTTTATATATAATTATATGTAATTAAATACATATAATTATAGATAAAATATTTTTTCCCGAAAAGTTAACACACTGCATGTTAGGATGTCTCTCCATAATTCGCAAATCGCAAAACGTAGTTCGTTGACACAAATTAGAGATCATCGCAAGATATACACACATGAAAATCAATCGCACACAATGAAAAAAACAAATGCAAATTTTCTGCGAATTCATTTTGCGAATTATGTTTTGTGATTTGTGAATTATGTAAAGTAAGGCACTCCTTTACCGTTTCGCCATTCGGCGTGCACGGAGAATTTCGTCAAATTACAAACTTAAACTGCTCTAATTTAGAAATGACATCGCTCGACTTCTCATTTTTTTTTTATAAGATTCCCAGGATCGAATTAAAGTTTCTGCCGCCCCTAGACAGTTTGCCATCTCCCTTCAACAAATACTAAAAAAATCATACTTCCATTGTATGTTTGCATGCATGTATTTTACATTTTTACAATGTAATTCTACAACTTCTTTTACAATGTAATTCTGCGCTTCTCACACGGCAAACTCATTAATTAAACAATTACGAGTATAATCTGTTTCGACAGTAAGCTCTGCTTCAATGCATAATAATATGACATTTAAACGCTTGTTGCTCTGAATATTTCTATAGTTTTTCACTCGTCGTAGTACAGAGAAGGACCTTACACCGAAACAATTTGACATCATTATACAAAGCAAAATTCGAAGTGCTATATTTACGGTTGAATACAAAATAAGAAAATTTTGTTTATAAAGCATTTTGTGCAATTCCGACAGTAAAATTTCTTTTGTATTTAGCGTGCGCCAAGATACCGACATTCGATATCTAGCATCAATTCTAATCGTCGGAGTAACTGTACTGCAGAGTGATTACAATTGGACTTAGTACGTGTAACTGTGTTAGAAAACCGAACTTATTATTTAAATTAGTATAATAGATGCTTCGGTTTTTCAATCCAGCTAGAAGTAAATCTACAATTATGTAAAATGATATGCATGTTATCGCTATTATTTAATGGATTTTCATTCTGATGTTAAAATATTTAATTTTCTGAATTTTGCTATCGTTAAAAAGAAAATGTGAAGATTGACAGTAACTAAGTGCTAAAGTATTGGTTGTGTTAGAAAGGATATACTTTTAATAATAGGAAGATAATTATTGGGTAAGCGATCCGTGCCTGTTTATTTAATCCTTTTTATTGTTTTTTTAAATATGTTATCTTCGAAATTATTCTTTTTCGATATAAACAATAATTAAAAATTAAATTCGTTGTTCATACAAGATACGGAATAGCACGCTGTAATGTTTAGTAGAACGCAGTATCAAAAATAAAATTTTAAGTATACATTCTATTTGTAATTTTTGAAATATCTATATATTTTACCTCTTCAAACTGCACAAATGATGATTTGTCCTTACTTATAATATAACTGATACTCTCGAAGAATTAATTATTTTAGCAATTATCCATAAAGCAATTATCGGTTGAACAATTATTGTTATAGAAATAACTAATTGTAAAATGTTGTTCGTAAATAAAATTTTATTTTAAAAGGAAAAAATTCAAATATTAATACTTTTGTCGTAACCACAAACACGATTATGTAGCATATACGTTTTGTTTATATTGGGAAAATATTTGAACAT